GTGAATCTGCATGTTTAGCCAGTTGAGTCCCAGAAAGGCAATTTGACTATAGAAGTGTGGGCAAGGAGAAGCAGCTAGCGTGATAATCAAAATAACCAGATCATGCAATAGCTTCATGGTTGGTAAACCCCGGATCGCAAGCCACATGTGGCTCTTTAGCCTCGAGTGTGGCTCTTCCACAAAAAACCACGTGCACGTACAATGCGATTGAAACTTTGTGGCACATGCGCAAAAGAAGTCAGTTTTCAGCCTGGGCGAGTCTATTTTGAAGTGGATCTAATGCCGAGCCACAATCAAGGGACCAAAGAGCTGCATGTGGCTCACGAGCCGTGGTTTGCCAACTCCTGCCCTAGCTGGTTTGGCTCAATGAAGTGTTGGTCTGCATACTGAAGGGTCCTGGGTTCAAATCTGGTCAAGGGCACTTGCCCAAGTTGGGAGTTCGATCCCCCGTAAAGGGCATGCAGAAGGTAGTCAATCAATGATTCTCTCTCATCATTTATGTTTCTATCTTTCTCTCTGTATCTCTTCCACTCTGAAATCAATAAAAACATATTTAAAAAAATAACCAGATCACAGGACCAGACCCTGCACAATCCACATGACACTGGGTAAGGCTCTTCCCATTTCACAAAATATTTCACATTAGAAACATCTTGAGAACTTTGGGTATAATTCATTTTGCTTCCTGCTCTGCAGCCATAGCATTTTAAATTAAAATCTCATATTAAAATAATTATAAGTTGAGAATTTGAGGTACATGTTATTTTGCTCCCTATTCTGCCACCATAATTTTTTGTAAGTAAAGTCATACCTTCTAGTTAGGGGAACAATACTTTCTATTAAACCACAATGAAGAAATCATGCAAGAGGCTATTTAGGCATTTTGAGGTTCCAGCAAGTGGCCTGACTCTCAGATCTTTGACAGCTATGCTAGGTTATTACCACATACTATATTGCATAGTTATAAAGATTTCTTTAAGGTCTTATGATCTTCCTTAAGTCGACATCTGTATACTTTCTTGAATAATATTTAGTAGGGGTTTAACATATTTTCATAACACTCATCACAATTATCTGACTCTTCAAGTCATGCTCTTAATGAGGTTGTTAGTGCTAAACCACACTATGTGTCCATGATATCTTTGATTGCTTTGGACTGACAGGACAGCAATAGCAGGTTATCATTTCCTCATGATAACCCAGTGGGGTCCTAAAGGCACAAATTATCCAGGAACGCAAATAATTCCCCTGACACTGCCAAAGATTTTCCCACACACTTGTCCTTCTTATAATACAACAGAAATAGTAAAGGTAAAATGTTTGGTTTGTGTTATCACAATACTTCTTTTATGTTTTTGTTCCCCTCCCCCTAAATGTTCCATTTCTCTGACCTTCTCTATCTGATATCCACTATTTATTATGATTTGTATCTTGTCTCCATTCTAATTGTCCACCTCTTTGTGCTTAGCAAAGTAAACTTACCTGGTCCCTTTTCTTTTTGCCATTTTTAAACTTTATTTTTATTGTTGACACTGTTACAGATGTTCCCCATTTCCTCATCCCCTTTGCCCATCTCCATCTGCCATGTTTTAGTCTAATCTGGTCATTACCCTTTGAAAACACTTTATTCAAGCTATTTTGTGAAGTTTCTGAAGAGGATACAACAGGTGAGAACCATTTACTAGCCTTAATGAGTTATGGTATCTTCAAAATACTGCTTTTCCAGAAAACCAGGCAGCTAAAATCAGACCAGAGACCTAAGGATTTTTCCACCACGTTTTGTGTCTTGTTTGATGTCTTGTCTGTATCCAGATGCATTAATTTAACATGTGCAAATTCAATAACTCTATAGTTAAACTAGGACTTCTTATTCCGTTTTCCCATTCTTCCAGTCTTATCTCTTACTACACACTTAGACAGATACTCATCTCTTTTTGTATTGTACCATTAAATATGGTTTAATATTTATACAATCTAAGTTAATATCCTCTGATGCAAGTGACTCATGCATCTTAACTATGCTATATGGTGTGAGAAGAAGACAACTCACCATCCTTGTCAGTGATTTGAAAGTTTTCTTTCCACTGAGATAATAAAGGTCTCAAACCCAGAACTGTCTTCCTGCCTGCTTATATGCAACTCTGTCATAATGCCTCCATAACAAACTCTTAAAGGCTGGACATTGGGTTCTGCCATCAGAAGATGTCCTTTATTCAAATTGGTTACTGGAATAAATTTTAAGTACCCTGACCCTTCTGTTATATGTCTCTGAAAGAATGTTGGGTTCTTTCTTTAGAGTCCCCAGGGTAGACAGTTTTATTTGTCTTCATTTCTTAATTACAGGAAGAGCTGTGTCATACTGCAGATCTGTTTCTCTAACCTGAATAGTCAGGTGACATGAGATAGGAGTCATGTTTACTAGTTCACTCTAATAATCCATGGAGTTGTGAGTGTCTCATCAACTTTATTTACATTTTATATTGTTTTTAAACAGCATTATCTTTTTCTTAAATTATTCTGTTTTCTTTTTATTATTATTTTTTCAATTATAAATGACATTCAATATTATTTTGTATTAGTTTCAGATGTACAGCAAAGTGGTTAGTAAATCAAGTACTTTATAGAGTGGTCCCCTCTGGCTTTAAGTACACACTACATAGTTATCTTGATATTGTTGACTGTATTCCCTATGCTGTAATCTACATATCTGTGGCTATTTTGCAACTACTAATTTGTATTACTTAATCTCTTTGCCTTAAGAGAACAGATGCTCAGAATGATCCATTGGCAGTTAAAGGCAATAGAAATTTAAAACTTAATTTTAATTTCTTGAGCATTTTGTGAGCAAAAGTTCAACAGAAGAGGATAGAAGTATTTTTCCATATTGGATTAGCAATGGCAAACAACACATGCTCAAGAACAAGGAAGCCATTTTTTAAATGTATTTTATTGATTTTTTACAGAGGAAGGGAGAGGGATAGAGAGTTAGAAACATCGATGAGAGAGAAACATCCATCAGCTGCCTCCTGCACACCTCCTACTGGGAATGTGCCCGCAAGCAAGGTACATGCCCTTAACTGGAATTGAACCTGAGACCTTTCGGTCCATAGACAGATGCTCTATCCACTGAGCCAAACCAGTCAAGGCAAGTTGCCATTTTTAAATGAGATGGAATGAAACTGGCATTTTTCTGCATAACAAATGTTTTTCAACCCCTCTTCAGGAATAGCTATATCTGAAAGGGAAAGTACTGCCAAACCCTGGGACACAAAGACACATGCCATGACTACCTTATAACCAAGTGAATGCTGTCATGCAGATATTGTTGATGCAAAATAATAGTGCAGAAAATATTTTTTACCTTTGTGTGGGAATGTAAAAGATATTTCATAGATAACTACTGTGGTTACTAATGAAGATGATTGTAGTTCACCAATATGTTCCCCATTAGGGACATGATACTAAGCAATACTCACTCTGACGTTACATTCATCAAAGTCCTCAAAATCTGAAGATTTTATATCATCCTTGACTCTATCAAATAGACAGGATTACAAGCCCAGGAGTCATCGAGTTCTGGTGGAAAGAGAATACTTCTGTTTGGGAATCAGATAGAGACTTGGCTTTGATTTTGTCTTTCCCTCTTCCCATCTTTGTGACCTTGCACATGAGAAGAAGTGCCCATTTCATCACTCCTTTGACAACTCACCATTGTTTCATTTCATTGTTTCTTGGTAAGTCAAATTAGGTAGAAAAATAAAATCTTGTTTACATTTGCATATATTTGATTATTGGGGAAGGACATTACTTTTTTATGTACTGTTCTAATTTTAGTCTTTATTTGAAAGTTTGGGTTTTGAGGATCCCCTATGGATAACACCTCCCTTTCTCCACTGAGCAAATTCATATGAAAGTTGCAGTTAGAAGCCAAGATCTCAGCTTTTGCCCAAGAGATTGCTCTTGAAGGACAATGACTATCCTGAGATTCAAGTGGGTCTTATAACATCAAATTTAAACAAATTTACCAAATAGCCTAGGGACTTGTAAATGTACAAGAAGAACAGAGTTACCTGTAATTGTACTACATGAGTTTGCTCACAGAGAATTAAATACCCATAGCAGGGAAGAATTACTCCCTCAGAACATTGTGAATTGCCTGTGGGTGTCCTTTACTCATCCATTCTCTCACAAGCTTGGAAGTGAGCTGTTCCTGGCCTGTCTTTGCTATTTATTTCTTAATAAGTAGTTAAGAGCTACTTTAGAGTTTTTTTTTTTAATTAACAGGTTTTGTCAAGTTCTTCTGTTTTTAACTTTGGCTAACTGTATTTTTTACCACAGTTTTTTTCAAATTCAGTATATTTAGATATCCATTTTCTATAAGGATTTTGAATGATGATTTTTGTTTAGAAATTATTTTGCTTGAAAAAAATCTATGAACACTATGAAACATTCTGAAGGATGAGTGAGATAAACTGAGTAAAAAGAGAGACATATCATGTCATAGGGCCAGAAGAATTAAAATTGTGGCTACTTAATTCTTCACAAAACAATGCATCAATTTACTGCAATCACAAACAAGAACCTAGTGAATCTTTTTTTTACATTTTTTATTTTAAATTTTTTAATTTAATATTATTTTGTATTAGTTTCAGATGTATAGCATAATGGTTACATAATCATATACTTTACAAAGTGTTCCCCCTGATACTTGACCAGCTGTGTCTTAACATCTTTTATAAAATAGTGTCAAAAGGGTAAGAGAAAATGTAAGAGATATTTTTAACTAGTACTTTATTGTATGATAAAGGATTTTGCTACTTCTTTTTAGGAAATCACCTACCCCTGAGTTTTGAATGGAAATTAAAGAGACATATATTGCGATTTCGCTTTGAAATCCTTTAAAAATGACCGTTTTTCCCCTTTAAGTGAATTTCAGTTTACTTGGCGATTCTCCTCCCTCTAATTTAGGGAAAGGCCCCCTGCTTTCCCCATCACAGGGAGGGGGCGGAGCATTCTCTCAGAAGCTTGGAAGTGAGCTGTTCCTGGCCTGTCTTGGGGGAGGGGCTGCATTTCATGAGGCTGCAGCTGACAAGAAGCTTCAAGGTAATGGCTGTCTTAAAGCGAGTTATTTTCTGGGAATTTCTTCGGGCTTTGGTATTACGATGGGAAAAAATAGATTGTTGTCTGCAAGAGGTGGGAATGAAATAGAGTTTGGGGGGAATTGCTGTTATTGTGACAGATTTAACCCCCTGAAAATTTAGTTTCTCCCGATATTTTTTGAAGTCCACAGTGTGGGAATGGGTGATCAGATTACAGCTTCTAAATTAAGACTTTAGTGAGGCATGCTGTTCATGTTAATTTTTACACGACATCCCATGTTTTTATCTTCATTAGAGAGTTTATTATATTTTTATTTAAATATTTATTATTCTACACAAAAATAACGGATAGAAAAATGTAAACAAAAATTGGTTAGCACATACAAACAGAAATATAAATGTACACGAACATGAAAGGGATCCAGATATGCTGTTGAGTGATAACATTTGTAAAAAATATATGATTTTCCTTAATCAGAGAGCTAGAATCCCCTCTTAACAGTCAGCATCTCTAAAGCATTCAGATTACTGGAGGTTTCAAAATATATTTTAACCAGTTTTAGAATTTTTAGAATTGTTTTATTACGTGATCATTTTTTTATCACTAGAAGTGCAAAATGAAGCTGAAACAGTGCACCCATTTGGTTTTAGACATATAAACACTGGTAGATACACATACACACAGACTTGAAAACATACCCCCCTTGTCTTTTGCCAATAGTGGAAATTTTCCTGGACCTGATCAAGCGCATAGCCTGGTTGCTGTGTTGGCTATAGCCCTGTGTGTGTCCTCCTTGCAACTCATTCTTTCAGCCTCACAGGTATGGTATAGCTATTGTGAGCAAAAAAACATCTTTCTGTATCTTTTAAGTTTAAGAGTGAGACAGAGAAAGGATTTGGTTCATTTTTATTAGCAGTTTTAAAAATAGTATGTGGCATGATGCAATGCATACAATTGAATGTTATATAGCTGACAAATGGAAGTATGAACATGTAGTAATTTGAAAAGATGTCTGAGAAATTGTATTAGGTGAAAAATTAAAATTGAAGAATGGCAAGTACGATATTATGTCATTTAAAGATGAAGTACTGTGTTAACAAAATTTGTGTAACAAAATAAGAAAAAATATAAGACTACCTATTAATGGGATTGTTTGTGTGGTTGGAGAGACAGGACACTTTATTATTTATTTAAAAATAATTATTAATATATATTTGGTCATTTTTAAAAGACTATCAGAAAAAAATTGGCATAAAATGTTTCAAATTAGGGGGAATTATATTTGAACTGATTCATTAAAAAGGACATTGAAAATACTTATTAATATGGAAAATACTTTCAAACCATGGGCTTGAGCACAGTAAAATGCTGGTCTTAAATTACATGCATTCATGTATATATGTCAAGAAAAAATATGGAAGGGTACTCAGAAGACAATAATATTATTTTTTCCAGAATTATACTTTTTTAAAATAAATCTTCATCTGTTCAATTTTCACAAGCATGTCATTTTCTTTTTATCAGACCATTGGAAGTATAGAGATTAGCATTCCATTTTTTGTGCAATGCATAACAAAACTGTAAATTTGAGCATTGTATATTCTAGAAGCCTGAGAAAATTGCTGTCTTGGCAGGATGTAGTAGTTCCCAACCTTCTCCCATAAGAAGGAACTACAGTAGTAACAGGGTGTAGTTCTGCTATTGGTCACAAGATGGCACTTGCCAGATTTTCCAAGTTTTCACTAGACAACTATTTTATGAATTGAGCAAACAAATTAGAGGGGAATTATATTTGAAGTAATTAATGAAACATATTTTATATTAACAGACTATGAAATAGCATTGGCATGTAGAATGTGACCACAGTTCTGTTTATAAATTTGTACATGTCTAGAATAAAAATCCCCACACTAGGACTGATGGAAGAACTAAAAAAAAAATAAAAATAAAAAAAAATGAAAAAGCCTTAAAAATATATCTATGTCAAATTTGGCCTACAGAAGATGCAAGGCAGTTATTATTTCCCTGCTTCCTATCCCCACATTACACTTTTCCTGCGAAAAATGATCTCAGCATGAACCAAATAACCAAACATGTGACCAAACTGTGTCAGAGAGCATTTCAAATAACAAAAACAAAAAGGAAAATAAACATGGCATCTATATCACAGATGAGATTTTATCTTCTTCCTGTGTTTTAGAATGGCATGCCTGCTGAAGTTTTGTTGGTTTGTGTGTGTGTGTGTGTGTGTGTGTGTGTGTGTGTGTGTGTGTGTTTGTAAAGAAGTTTCTCCACACCATTTCCATTGAATTGTTTTGATTCCCTGCCTCTTTTTGGACAGCCTAGGTTAATATCAGAGATGCACATGACCTGGTGAATCTGTATGTGAAGCTCATTGAGCCCCAGAAAGGCAGTGCAACAACAGAAGCCTTGAGCAGGAAGGAAGAAGGCCCTGGTGGACAACAGGATCATAGGGACAGACCCTCCACAATCCATGTGACATTGGTAAGGCTTTTCCATTACATGTTAAAACGTGGATAAGTTAGAAAATTTGGCAAGTTAAGTTAAAACATGGTTAATAATAGAATATTTATTTTGATTCTGGCTTATTAGCCATAACATTATAAATTAAAAACTTTGGGTTCTACTGTTAGGAAGGAATTAAATATGCTAAACTCCTCTAAAGAAATTATATGAATGGATATAATGATGTCTACTTATGGAAGACTTGTAGGTAACAGCCAACTGCCTGACTCAATAAATCCTTGAAAAGTACTCTATTCAATAGGTAGCCATTGTGTCCAAATATATAGCCACTAAGTTCATTCTCTTAATGAGGTCATGGTGGTGTTGTCTGAGGGGAGACACTAAACCCAGTATCTGTGGTTGCCTTGTGTAGATAGGGCAGTTTTAAGAAGTTAAAGATTACTTGAGAATAAATCTTGAGAGGCCTCTAAGAATTAAAGTATCCAATAACATAAATTATATACCCCTGACGTACTCAGAAACATCCCTGCTCTTCCAATCTCTTACAAACTCATTTCTTATATTTAATAGCTATGATAAGCCTTCATGCTGGGGCATTACATAACTACTTCTCATTCCTTTAACCTTTAAATATTTTCCCCCACCACAGTGTTTCTTTGGGGCCCAGTATTTATTAATCTTTTTGTATATAGTCTCCATTTTCATTGTTTATGGTTGACAGATGAAATTGCTTTAGTAATTCTCTTTTTCTTTACCTTTTCTTTGAGTGAGTATCCTCTAGTATTACCAATTCAAAATTATTTTAAAGTTTCCTTGCAAGTTTTCAGGAGAATATGTATAGGCACAAAAGGAGAAACTATTAGTAACCCTAAGACCTCTAACATAACTGTTTTGTGTTTGTGTGTGTGTGTGTGTGTGTGTGTGTGTGTGTGGTTAACAAGGCAGTTAAACACAGACAAATGACCTAAAGATTTTTCTAGATGATTCAGATTTCACTGATTACTTTCTAGTCTATATCCATATGTACCAATGAATGATATATATTTTCAGATCTTCAGTGGTTCATTTTTAATTTATTTTTTCTTCCCCACTTCCTTCTTACATTCATATACTGTATATTTCTACTACACATTTAAACTATTGCTGAACTTTTAAAATTTATTTTAATCTTGTAATATATTTTTATATCAATATACCAGTTGTTCCTTCAGTTAGTTAGTAAAGTTAGAACTTGGTCCCAAACCCATATTTGTATATCTATTTGAGAAATTCTAACATATAACCTTGCCATCATGCTGTCTATTTAATAGTTTAAGAAACCTGAAAAACAAATTTAAAAGAATATATGCACCTCTGTGTTCATTGCAGTGCTATTTACAATAGCTAAGATTTGGAAGCAGCCCAAGTGTCCATCAGTAGATGAGCAGATAAAAAAGCTGTGGTACATTTACACTGCAGAATACTACTCAGCTATAAAAAGAAGGAAATTTTACCCTTTGCACCAGCATGGATGGACCTAGAGAGCATTATGCTATGTGAAATAAGCCATTCATAGAAAGACAAGTGTCATATGCTTTCACTCATATGTGGACTCTAATGAACTAACAAGCAAAATAGAGACAGACTCATAAATAGAGAGAGCAGGGTGATAGCTGTTGGTGATGAGGTTTGGGGGGGCTGGGTGGGAGGTTGGAGGGACAGAGCAAAAAGTAAAAAGAGAGAAAAGTGCATGGAGGGAAGGGGAAGACTAGAAGGGGTCAATGGGGAAAAGGGGTACATCTGTATAACCTCTACATTATAAAAGGCCAGGGGCCATCACAATTTAAATGACCAGACAGATGACCAGTCACCAGGAAGTGCATGGAGCACCTTTCGGTCCCATCCCCATGACCCAGAGGTTCCTATCACATCAAGGCTGGTGGCCGGCAGGCAGAATGGCAGGGGTGGTATACAGGGCAAAGCAGGTGTGGCAGCTCCAGATCAGGCCCAGAGAGAGGCCTGGAGAGAGAGGAAGGGCCTGATCCACAGCTGCTTCAGCTGCTGTGGATCAGGCCTGGAGATAGAGCTGGAGATAGGCCCAGAGATAGGCCCAGAGATTCTGACTGGCATAGAAACTGACCAATCAGAATCAAATCATGGCTGCTTTGGAGGCGGATCTTTTGACACTGACTGGCATAGAAACCAACCAATCAGAACCTATTCTGGGTGAACATGAAGGCAGAACCTAAAGTGAAGGCTGAAGAGGGTTTTTAAGGGCAACAGCTGTTTGGTGTAAGATGTAAGATAGTGATTCAATTTTTTAATGACTGGTTTGGCAGTATAGTGCCTATGGCTGGCAATCAGTCCAGATATATGTATTTTTGTCTGCCAAGAGCACCTCCTCCTGCTAAAAAAGCCCCTCTCTCCCCAATTTAAGCAATCCTATATTATCTATCTATACTAATAAAAGGGTAATATGGTAATTAGACTGGGTCAACTGGCCATTTTCTGGATGTCTGACTTCCTTCTGGACAAAACCATGGTGGTGGAGGATGAGGCAGAGCAGTTAGGGTTGATCAGGCTGGCAGGGGAGGGAAGTTGAGGGCAAGATCAGGCCAGCAGAGGAGGGCAGTTGAAGGTGATTAGGCAGGCAGGCAGGCAGAGAGATTAGCATCAAACAGGCAGGTAGGCAGAGAGGTTAGGGTTGATCAGGCAGGCAGGCAGAAAGGGTAGGGGCAATCAGGCAGACAGGCAGGTGAGTGGTTAGGAGTCAGTGGTCCCATATTGCAAGAGGGCAGTCAGACATTCCTGAAGGGGTTCTTGATTGGAGAGGGTGTAGGCTGGGATTAGGGGACACACACACCCCATGCATGAATTTCATTCACCAGGCCTCTAGTTCAATAATAAAAATAATTTTAAAAAAACTCATCAACATGGATAACAGTATGGTGATTACTGGGGGTTGGGGTGGAAGAGGATATAGAGGGATAAATGCTGATAAATGGAGATTTGACTTGGGTTGGTGAACACACACACATACAGATGGTGTGCTGTGGAATAATGCACCTAAATTCTTTATAATTTTGTTAACCAGTGTTTCCCCAGTAAATTCAAGAAAAAGGAAAAGAAAAAAAAAAGAGTAAAACAACTATAATCTCACATCTTCTACTGGTATGTGGGCAATATGGTAATGAATAAAGTAATGGGAAATTTTCAATTAAAAGAAAAATAGTTTCTTATACCTCCTCACAAAGAACTGAGTAGTACCTTTATTCAGAGTGGTGAGGGGAAGAATTTTGGTTCAGCCTGGATCTTTCCTATGGGTATCTCAGAGAATGGCTTAGGGCATGAAGGGAAAGAAGACAAGAAGGAATTCCCCTTTTTCTTTAAATTCCCCAACACAGTTCCCATAGAGGTCAATCTCTTTACTTGTTAATCCAGGGAAGAATACTACAGTTTAGTCTCTCTAAATTAATACTCATATTGCAGTAAAGCTTTGTTTGCTATGTGCTGTGATGATGAAGTTGTAAGGTCCTCATCAGCCTTTCTTTTCTTTTATTTATTTTAACTAGAGGCCCAGTGCACAGAATCTGTGCATGGGGCAAGAGGGGGCGGGGTGTCCCTCAGCCCAGCTTGCACCCTCTCCAATCTGGGACCCCTTGAGAGATGTCCAACTGTTCATTTAAATGGACAGTTGGACATCCCTCTCACAATCCAGGACTGCTGACTCTCAATTGCTTGCCTGCCTGCCTTCCTGATTGCCCCTAACCACTTCTGTCTGATAGTCTGTTTGCTCCCAACTTCCCTCCTTTGCTGGCCTGGTCACCCCTAACTGCCTTTCCCTGCAGGGTTGATTGCCTCCAACTGCCCTCCCTTGCAGGCCTGGTCTCTCCCAACTGCCCTCCCCTGTTGGCCATCTTGTGATGGCCATCTTGTGTCCACATGGGGGCAGGATCTTTGACCACATAGGGGTAGCTATCTTGATCTTGTGTGTTGGAGTGCTGGTCAATCTGCATATTACTCTTTTATTAGATAGGATAGAGGCCTGGTGCAGGGGTGGGGGCCAGCTGGTTTGCCCTGAAGGGTGTCCCAAATCAGGGCTGGGGTTCCCTTGGAGCATGGGGCAACCTGAGCAAGTGGCCTGTGGTGGTTCGCAGGGGACCCAAGTGGAGGCCCTGGTATCTGGAATTTATTTACCTTCTACAATTGAAACTTTGTAGCCTGGAGCAGAGCCAAGCCTTCTGTTCCATTCCTGGCTGCAGCCATTTCTATAATTGAAACTCTGTATCCTTGAGTGGAGGCCTAGGCCGGCCTGTATGTGGAAAGCTTGAGCTTGGCTTCTTCTGTTGCCAGGAAAATCCAAGCCTCCCTTCTGGCACCCATCTTGGTTGGGTTTATTTGCATACTTGCTCTGATTGGCTGGTGGATGTGACTTGTGGGCATGACTTGTGGGTGTAGCAGAGTGATGGTTAATTTGCATATTACTCTTTTATTAGGTAGGATGTTTCCAATTCTATCATTTTGAATCTTAATTTTTAGCAGCTTCATCCATTGATTGGCACTGTATAGGTCTTAGAATTACCAGAACACAAAATCTCTAGACATAGCAGGTTTTTCTTCTTGTGACGTCTAGGTCACTGGTATGTATTATTTTTTCTTTCCCCCCCTCTCTTCCATGCCATATCATTTGAATAGAGATTATATGTCCCTTCTGCCCTGGCAGTGATTCACTGTCTGACTTGCCTTTTTCCTATGGTGGTTGCTCATCCTTAGTAAGTTTTATTCTGAGGTTCTTCCTCTTCAGGTAGGCTGACATTTATCCAGTGAACATTAATAAGGTTTCCACTTTGTTTAGCCAGTTTTAGTTGTTTGTGCTTATGCCTTATGGGTCATGGACTATTTTTGAATAACCTTAAGATCTAAGATTCCTTTCTTTTCAATTATCATGGCTCCCTAATAATCTTTAAGAATATTCTAACTGGACCATTTCTAGTCTTTCATATGGTTGTTATACACTAAAAAATATACTATTAAAATAA